GTCGTAACTAAGAGGAATCCAATTGAAGCAGCTTGCCTCTTCTTGTTCCTGGTAAACCTCTCCCGCACCAATACTTGAGAATTCCCGCGACTAGCAATGAATGTTTACATATTTTTGCCTTCCGAGGAAATAATGGGACACTCAATTATATTTATCACCTAACCTAACCTAACCTAACCCAACTCAATTATAGAACTTATAGAGTTATTTACTGTTGGGTAAAATAAATAGATATTGGGATATATTTATAATCTATGGCAACAGTGATACAGTTAGAATTTTTTTATCGTAAGAGAAAAAAATGGGGCACTGGAGATCATTTTATCTTTAGTGAATTATTGTCATGTTGGAATAGTTATGGATATTCCCACGTCGTCGGTATTCAAATGGGTACTGTGCTCACCTTGTCATTAGAATTTTTTTTAGAATATATCCACATCATCTGTAGAACATTTGTGAACATTTCCTCGTTGACGTCAGGAGTTATTTTAAAATTCTCACCACGTCAATAGTTTTTATGTTCACGTCATTTATATAATTTTTTTTTTTTTCACGTCATCTATAGAACATTTTTTAACATTTCACGTCATCTGTAGAACATTTTTTAATATCCCACGTCATCTATATAACATCTTTAAACATTTCACGTCATCTATAGAACATTTTTTTTAACTTTTCACGTCTTTTATAGAACATTTCTTTAACATTTCACATCTATAGAAAATTTACATACATTTCCGTCTTGTAATTTTTTTTTCACATTTCCACATTTCTGTCTCGCTGAAAAACTAACTCGAAACTCAAGCGTATTTATTACGTTAGGGAAAGAGAAGTGTCGGGGCCACAATATTTTCAAAATACGATAATATGTTTTTTGCTGGAGAGTGTGAACGGACGAGGGTTGTAGGGGGAGGGTGAGGAATGGGAAGGAGAGAGGGGAATGGGAGAGAAGGAGGGGGAATGGGAGGGAGGAAAGGGGGGGAGGAGGAGAATAGGAGTGAAGGAAGTGTAGTAATGGGAACTAGGAAGGAGGGAATAGGAAGAAGGAATAGGGAATGGGATGTAGGGAGGCAGGAAATGAATGCAAGATAGAGTGAGGAGTGAAGGTCGGGTGATGGGAGAGAGGAAGGTGACAGATGGGAATGAAGGGAAGGTGAGGAAGATGAGAATAGAGTGAGTGGGTTGTGTAGGAGGGAGAGATCACGAAGAAGAAGTGGATGATTAGGGGAGGTAAAGAGGGAAGGAGCAAGTTGAAGGGGTAGTCAGGGAGGGACGGAGGGAAAGGAGAGAGGAAGCAAAATGGAGGAGGAGTGAGTGAGAGAGTGAGCGAGGGAGGGAGGGAGGGAAGGAGGGAGCAAGATGGAGAAAGGAGAGAGGAGAAAATCTATACTAAAGTTGATTTATGGTAAGACCCCCCTAAGGCGACCCAGGTAGTGAGGGAGAAGAGAGGGTGGTGAGAGAGAGGTGGGGGAGGGGATATTGAGAGAGGGGGAAGAGAAGGGATGATGAGAGGGGGGAGGGGGATACTGGGGAAGGGGGAGGAGAGGGAAGAAGAAGAGAGTGAGTAGTGAGGAAGAAGGAGAGAGGGGGGTGCTGAGGGAGGAGAGGAGGTGGTGAAGGAGGATGAGGGGTGAGGAACAAACATTGTCATGTAATACACGTAAGAGCACAACAAAGGTGTGGGGGGAAGGCAGGAACTTCCCCACGAAATAAAAACGAGAGAGAGAGAGAGAGAGAGAGAGAGAGAGAGAGAGAGAGAGAGAGTTGAATCTCTGACAAATTTCCAGCCATGAACCAATTGTCGTTCCATCATATCTCATTACAATGCCTGTAAGGTTCACCCCAGCCTCAGGAGAAGCTTTATAAGGTGAGCTACACCCACACCTCCCGCATCAGATTTTTAAAGACAGTAAAAACTTTGATCGTGAGTTCCTCGTCCTCTTATCCATCATCACCAGTTACTTACAGCCGCTCTGTGTCTCTCGTCACTCATGCAGGAGACACCAGTAAACTGTGGCCCTCATGGTATAAACTCGTATATATTACCTCCAACAGGTGTGATAGTGTGTTCTTGATGTCTGTCAGTGTTGCTTGCTTTATTGTTGTGGCCCATGTCCGTGAACAATGCGTACAGAGAGAGATAAAGGGAGATAGACACGGAGACAAGGCGAGAGAGGGGGGAGATAGAGAGACACAGAGGCAAGGAGAGAGAGGGGGGAGATAGAGAGACACGGAGACAAGGCGAGAGAGGGGGGAGATAGAGAGACAGGCGGAGACAAGGCGAGAGAGAGGGGGAGATAGAGAGACACAGAGGCAAGGAGGAGAGAGGGGGAGATAGAGAGACACAGAGGCAAGGCGAGAGAGGGGGGAGATAGAGAGACACAGAGGCAAGGCGAGAGAGGGGGGGATAGAGAGACAAGGGACAAGGCGAGAGAGGGGGGAGATAGAGAGACACAGAGATAAAGAGAGAGAGGAGGAAGATAGAGAGACACAGAGATAAACATAGAGAGAGATAGAGAGAGAAAGAGAAGCTTCAGCCAAGGCCAGGAACTCACTAGAGCCCTCTAGAGGACTAAGCCCAGGACTACAGCTAATACAACTGAGTGAAGTTACTTAGTGATGCTCCCTGAGGCAGCTTTACACACACACTCTCTCTCTCTCTCTCTCATGTAGCAGGTCCCAGATACTGGTTGTTCAAACATAGTTCACCACCAAACTGGGTCTAGGCTGACGCAAAAACAACTTCTGAAAATTTAATCCTCAAGTATTTAATGTTGGTCCTTTAAATTAACCAGTGAAGCAAAAAATCATGATATTATTACGTACGTTAACAGGTCACTGTAGGTTTTACACCAAATGATGTTTACCGTAAAGTCAAGATAACTGGTTTGCTGCGGCAGTGAAGTGGTATGATACATTTGCATTGTCCTCTATAGACTTGTGTGTGATGTGGTGTCGCGTGCCTCTGATAATAACAGAGTGGAAAATGACTTCCTGCAGAGGGTGTAGCTGAGCTCGCAGTATCAGGTCTGATTATTGATATCTTCTATGATATCCTGGGTTCGTCTCTTCCTGTTTATTAGATTAAATTCTTAAACGAAAACCTTGATATACACAGGTAAGATTCTGAAGTGTAATATTTGCATTGTTTCAGTCTACGCTACAGAAAAAAAGAATAATGTCAAGTGCATTTGCATGTTTTGGGCTGCGTTAGAGGAATGAAGTGCCCTATGTGATTCAGATCCAGTCAACACGAATATTTTTTGGTGTGTGTGTGTTGCCAGTCTCACAGTATAACAACAACAAAAATGATATTCCCACTTTGGGTTATGAATTTAAAGCCAAAAAAAGAATTGAAGAAGAATAGTGATTTATATAATATTAAGGCTTTTGTTTATATGTTTATTCACCTGTACTCGTGTTCTTATATAAGGTACAAAACATCGCCTGTATGATAATTTGGGTCATTTATGTTGTGTTACCCATCAGCATCGTGTGCAAATAATGAGAGGCTACGCTATAAGGTGCAGCTGGTGACCCATTCTCATAAACCTTTAGCACAATACATTCAGTTTATCTGCTCTAATACACGTAGTTGATTACTGTCCAAATAATATTCTATTCTATTGGTTCCGTTTGAAGTGAGAGGAGACCCATCTGTTAGAAGATTCATAAACAGTTAATTAAGATCAGGAAGAGAGTGGAGAGATACAGTGAGAAGAGAGCTGGAGGAGTTAGGCGATGATGGATGACAGGTAGAGGGGAGGAGGCCCAGTTGGAGGAGGATTGTAGAGAGGGCGGAAATCAGCGTGTGACGTAGACCCTATCGCGAATGGGAAAGAAGGAAGTAAAGAAGAATGAGATACAATAACAAGAGGCTCTCGTTTTTCTCCATGATAGTTCCGCTTACTCGTGATTTTCCTGTGGCGGCCAAAAAAATGTATCTGTTGTTTTACGTTTTGTTGTGCTGCTGCCGACAACAACATTGTCTTGTCTCTCTGGGACAACGAGACTCGCTTTAATATGTGGCACCGCCTCGTGTATCCTCAGGCTTCACACACTCCTCTATTAATATTGAAAATTCTCTTGGGTTTCAGCCTGTGTCTTGTATGATTTTTTTTATTCAGGTTTATATATTTATTCAGGAATATAAATACAGACATAGGTCGAGGTGTGTCACTGTATATCCCACGTCGTGAGAGTATTGTAAGGTTGATGTTTTAAATAAATTGTTCCCCACCATCTTGTGAGTAGGAGATAAACATTCATTATAATCTTTCAATTTGTGCATTCTTCTGGCTTCCTATTCGTCAGCGAGTCCATCCGTGCGTCAGTGAGTCGGTTCAGGAGTAATGAACATGATCATTCTAACAACGATCAACGTAATTTAACCAAACTTTGCTTCCGGATATACCACAACTCTGAAATTAATTAATATAATCTTCGATATCCATCAAAGTGGAATATTGCGTTGAAGCTGTACTCTCACTTTTCTTCGAGATATTGTTACTCATAATAAACTCATGATAATGACGGCAACCTACAGGGCTTGTGTATATTCTCTTGATGTTTGTGTTTACCGAGTCCTGGGAGGGGAGTTACTCACCTAAAACGTCAGAATGTACTTCAACATTTTCTTCACCATATGACTTCGACTCCCAGGATGACCATAAAGGTGTATCACCAGACGTTGTTTGTTATTCCTCTTGTTTGCAAGTATAAGTCAACCGAAATTATGAAGAAACGCAGTTGTATGTTGAAGCAATGTGGAGTACTACTTACGTGTAGCTTCCACTGTAAACACAAACATCAAGATACTTTGTAAACACCTCTTAGACTGGCCAAAACTCGTGATTTTCATAAAGTATTTAGTCAGCAACTCGCGAGTTTGTGTTTGTGATACAAGAGGCAGCTGGTGCGAGTGTGTTACACTCCGTCCAGATTTATTCATCTCGCGCTGCCTCCACCCACCAACTCTCATAAGTTTCTCAAGTGACAGGATGCAGCGCCTCACGTTCGCTCCGTGGAAGATTTATCAGCGTGTGATGCTGCCGTGGGAGCTCCGGTGTGTCTCCTCTGCCTGGCGTTAATACATTTGCCAGCTCGTAAAAAGTCATCATCATCTTTTCATACCGTCAAGGAGGAGGTTTAGAAATTCCCAGCGGAGGTAATATCACTGTTGTGAAACACCGATGCAAGCTAAGATTCGCCAGCCTGACGAACCGAGCCTTCCCTGCTCCGCCTGGCGTTGACACACTCCCAAGCAACGTGCAGGGAGTCACCCATCCTCTGCTCCTCTCACGTGAAGAAGAAAATAAAAAATAACCGAGAATATGTTATAAACTGTACAGTGAAGAATTCTTGGCGATGTAAACCAGATTCACAGTAAAGAAACAATTGTGTGAACTGTCCTGGGGTGCAAGAGAAATCTTATCTCGGTAAGATACTCATTCCGGCAAGAATTTTTTTTACAAAACTGACTAATGCAGGTAATATTCCCCAAAGAGATGGCGAGTGGCAGATATAACTAATGGTTGAAGGTGATGAATCTTATATTCAGTTCCTTGTTCTTCATTTGTGTATTTATATTCGCCACTTTTATTTCCTTGTTGCGTATATTCACTTTTTCCATTTTATATTTAACTTCACATCTTTTTTATTATCTATTGTGCCCATATTTATATTTTTTGTTTAGGTTTCCATTTTATTTTGTGTTATTTTCACGAGTATCCCGCCTCTATAGAGTTTATTATCTATAATTACCGAAAGAACTTTATTGTATATCCTATTTTTGGTGTTTATATTCGAGAGTTTCTCATTATATTTTGTATTTATTCTTACGATTATCTCATTTGTTTCTGTTATTTTTTTTTTTACTTATCCACATCTATAACGCTCATTTCTGTTTATCTCTCAGTGTTTACAATTCTCTGGCACTTATCTCAATACTGATTTAATATCCTCTGTAAACCGAGGATATTAACACTTGATACTGTACTCAGGGATACAGTAAAAAAAAACCAGTAATATTTAACACTAGGTATGTACCCCCACCTCGTTAATTATCATACCGATTTCCATTAAATTTGATATTGGTGTTGATGGTGCCTCCCTCCCCGTGTCATTAGTCTTCCGTGCCGCCGATCCCTGGGCAGATCATCATCGTTAATAACCTTCAAAAATAATTAACAAAGTAATGAAGGAATATTGAGCTGTCATGAGCGAGGGTCGACCCCGAGGTGGATGGTGTAAATATTGGAGGTGTTGATGAGGCTGTTTTCCACGATGTCTCTCTCTCTCTCCATGTGTGTGTGTGTGTGTGTGTGTGTGTGTGTACAAAGCCCCTCTAGTAGAACACGTGGGTCTCTCCTCCTTGTCCTCCGTTAATGAAATTCTCACACATACCGGGGTGTCAGGCGTCCACTTTACAGCTCCAACTACCGCACTCAGGGTAACGTTTCCCACCTTTATTGCTGGATGTTGACTGTGAACCTAACACGGTCTTGTTTCACCATGTTAATTGAGGGATCCCCAGGCCCCGCCTACTGAGCCACCAGCCAATCAAAAGTACTTGAAATTGACAAACCTTCGCTCTCCGCCCCTAAGGTTGAGCCAGACTGTGGTGTGGTAGACTCGTTGATTTTTCAGTAAATTTGGCTCTTCTGCCTCATAGAAACTTAAATTTTCCCGTATAGATTGCTGATTTCGTTAGCATACTGTAAATGTCGGACTGGGCGGAACTTGTCGGAGTGGGTGGAGTTTGCCATTATGGGAAAAACATAATCTGGATCATAATTGAGTTGATGGCTTGACGTACATTTCGTCACCATTCTGTTAGAAGCCTCAGACCGACACCATACTGATGTACACCACCTGCATGTAATTCCTCTACTAAATTTTTTCGAGTTAGTATCTTGAGGTCGAGTCATAAAATATTATCCTCATCATAACAATAGCTAATTAAGTCAGCTTGTTCATGTTATACACCTCATATTTCCCTTCACTGTGATGAAAAATGAACTTTGTGACCTCTTCATTTGTCCTGCCTTGTGACCTACCACATACTGAGAACTTCTACTGGAGGAACCAACCAAGGTAAGCATCGGGAGGTGAGGTCAAGGCACTCTGTTCTCTGTGAACTATGACGTAAGATTGGTTATAGCTTGCAGTGTCGCCTCGACCCTGGTAACGGGAACAATGGCAACCCGACGGACCGTGATATTCAGTCCCCCACCACTTGTGGTAGTGGCTGTCTCTCCTCCTGTCTGGCTGTATCTCAGGCTCCCTGGCTGCATCTGGGGCTCTCTTGTTTGTACCTAAGACTCTCTGGCTGTATCTATGGCTCGCTGGCTGTATCTAAGGCTCCCTAATTGTAGCTAAGGCTCTTTTTTTTCTATCTAAGGCCCTTTGGTTATATTTCAGAATCACTGACAGTGCTCGTGGATATTTACCAGGCTTTTCTGGCTTTCTGAACACACACACACACACACACACACACACACACACACACACACACACACACACACACACACACGAGGAGCAGTAAATAATTCAGCCAGAGGAAATGTTGGCACGTCATCGGCTTGTGTCGCTGTTCCGGAAACAACAACAATAAGCCGAAATATTACAAGAATGCTGAAAGAATGCCACCGAGTTAGTGTGACAGAATGCCAGCGTCAGAGTACCAGCGTGTCAGAGTAGCGTACTGACCCAGCGTGGTGTCTGAGTGCCAGCGTGTCAGAGTACCAGCGTGTCTGAGTGCCAGCGTGTCCAGAGTGCGTGTAGCGTGTCCAGGTGCCAGCGAGTGCCAGCGTGTCAGAATGCCAGCATGTCTGAGTGCCACCATGTCTGAATACCAGCGTGTCAGAATGCCAGCGTGTCAGGAGTGCCACCATGTCTGAATACCAGCGTGTCAGAATGCCAGCATGTCTGAGTACCAGCGTCTGAGTGCCACCGTGTCTGAATACCAGCGTGTCTGGGTGCCAGCGTGTCAGAATGCCAGCGTGTCAGAGTGCAAGCATGTCAGGCCAGCCTGTCAAGAGTGCCAGCGTCAGAGTGGCGTGTCAGAGTGCCAGCGTGCGAGTGCCAGCGTGTCAGAGTGCCAGCGTGTCGAAGTGCCAGAGTGTCTGAGTGCCAGCGTGTCAGAGTGCCAGCGTGTCAGAATGCCAGCATGTCTGAGTGCCACCATGTCTGAATACCAGCGTGTCAGAATGCCAGCGTGTCAGAGTGCCAGCGTGTCAGAATGCCAGCATGTCTGAGTACCAGCGTGTCTGGAGTGCCACCGTGTCTGAATACCAGCGTGTCTGGGTGCCAGCGTGTCAGAATGCCAGCGTGTCAGAGTGCAAGCATGTCAGGCCAGCCTGTCAAGAGTGCCAGCGTATCAGAGTGCTAGCGTGTCAGAGTGCTAGCATGTCAGAGTGCTAGCATGTCTGAGTGCCAGCGTGTCAGAGTGCCAGCGTGTCAGAGTGTCAGCATCCAGTGCCAGCGTGTCAGAGTGCCAGCGTGTCAGAGTGCTAGCGTGTCAGAGTGCCAGCGTGTCAGAGTGCTGCTAGCGTGTCAGAGTGCCAGCGTATCAGTGCCAGCGTGTCAGAGTGCCAGCGTATCAGAGTGCCAGCGTGTCAGCGTGCCAGCGTGCCAGAGTGCCAGCGTGTCCCAGCGTGTCAGAGTGCTAGCGTGTCAGAGTGCCAGCGTATCCAAGGTGCCAGCGTGTCAGAGTGCCAGCGTGTCAGAAGTGCCAGCGTGTCCCAGCATGTCTGAGTACCAGCGTGTCTGAGTGCCAGCGTGTCAGAGTGCCAGCGTGTCAGAGTGCCAGCGTGTCAGAGTGCCAGCGTGTCAGAGTGCCAACTTGTTAGAGCCACCATGATGAAAAGACCTGTCACATAAAAGAGAATAATCAGTAAGGATACAACAACAAACAGCCAAATGAATAATATATAATGAGCCAGAGAGCCAGAGTGACACTTGGCCCACCTATGTCTACCCCAAGTCATTACGGATGAAGTTTGTGCCACAGTAAAGAGAACAAACGAGAAACGAATCACTTGAAAATTAGACACCATATCTTATTTCACTTGATTAAACAGCCTAACCTAACCCAATCAGACCTAACTTAACCTAACCTAACCAAATCTAACCTAACTTAACCTAGCCCAATCAGACCTAACTAAACCTAACCTAACCAAATCTAACCTAACTTAATCTAGCCCAATCAGACCTAACTTAACCTAACCTAACCAAATCTAACCTAACTTAACCTAGCCCAATCAGATCTAACGTAACCTACCCTAACCTAACTCAACCTAACCTAGCTGATGGGTCTAATTTTCAAGTGATATAAAGGTTCTGTTACAACACTGTCAAGGATCGAGTAAGATTAAGTGATTATGACTTGAGCTGAGAGACACAAAACTAACAGAAATAAAAATAATTTAGACGGGATATATTGGACGAACCTGTCAAGCGAGTGTCTGTCAATTATTTATGATTGTAGTCCTACCTGTCAAGTCTGTGCGAATATTTTCCTTGACGATAGTGAAATGAATTAATGTGTCAGGGTGTCTATGTGGTTATATTTGGTGAGTGTGTGAGGTGTTAGTGATGGTATGTTGGCGAGGTTGTGAGCTGTTAGTGATGGTATGTTGGCGAGGTTGTGAGCTGTTAGTGATGGTATGTTGGCGAGGTTGTGAACTGTTAGTGATGGTATGTTGGCGAGGTTGTGGCTGTTAGTGATGGTATGTTGGCGAGGTTGTGAGCTGTTAGTGATGGTATGTTGGCGAGGTTGTGACGGTATGTTGGCGATGTTGGCGAGGTTGTGAACTGTTAGTGACGGTATGTTGGCGAGGTTGTGAACTGTTAGTGATGGTATGTTGGCGAGGTTGTGAACTGTTAGTGACGGTATGTTGGCGAGGTTGTGTGAGTGACGAGGTTGTGAACTGTTAGTGACGGTATGTTGGCGAGGTTGTGAACTGTTAGTGACGGTATGTTGGCGAGGTTGTGAACTGTTGTGACGGTATGTTGGCGGGTTGTGAACTGTTAGTGACGGTATGTTGGCGAGGTTGTGAACTGTTAGTGACGGTATGTTGGCGAGGTTGTGAGCTGTTAGTGACGGTATGTTGGCGAGGTTGTGAGCTGTTAGTCACGGTATGTTGGTGAGATCAAGTGAGTGTGTGAGGTGTTAGTGACGGTATGTTGGCGAGGTTGTGAGCTGCTAGTGACGATATGTTGGCCAAGTTGTGTTAAGAGCGTGAGTTGTTATTGACGGAGTTGCCAGTAGAGATGAAAAAACCTTTCCCTTGGTAGCGAGGGAACCTAGGAACAGGGGAGAGAGAAGAGGAGGGAAGGAATGATAAAAATCGCGGAAAGATGGGGAGCTGGTGAGGGAAGATAGGAGGAGGAGAGGAAGGAGGAAGGAGGAAGAAGAGCTGGTCGTCCCACACAGGCTGGTCGTCCCACACAGGCTGGTCGTCCCACACAAGCTGATCGTCCCACTGTTTATTCTAGTCATCTGTGAATATCAAATGAGACAGACTTACAGCGCCGCCGTTTAGTGTGTATAGAAACTAACGATTGTTTGTGTTCCTGAGTGGCTGGGAATCAGAGAGGAACACTTTCGACGTCTCCTGAATGAATTGTTGTGTTCCCGAGTGGCTCAAAACAAGGGGTGGGGCAACTTAATACATTATCTGATTATAATTTGTGTTTTTTGGATAATTTATTGCTTGTGTTCCTGAGTAGATGAAAAACAAAAAAGAATACTTCAACACGTCTCATGGATGTATTTTTGTGTTCTTGAACATTTGTTTGTGTTACAGAGTGGCTGAAAACACAGGGGGCAACTTAACACGCTTCCTAAATGTATTTTCAAAGAAGTTTGTTTTTAATTGTTTACGAAACTCGGCGACACCCCTCTGGCCAAAGCGACGGAAACTTTCATACAACTTTCGTGTTATTTTTAACAAGTCGTGTGTTGTATGAGTGAGGTAGTGGAAGGGCAGAGAAATAATACATAGAGGGAGAAAACGAGATAAATTGAAGAAGAAAGAGAAATAGAGAAAGTGAGCAAGAGAAGCTGGAATGAGTGAGTGAGGAAATGGAAGATATTGGTAAGGGATCAAGAAAGAGGAATTTAGTGTGAGATAGAGTGAACGAGGGAAGGCAGAGAAAGACGAAGGAAATAAGGGAGTCTGGAAAGAAAGGAAGGAGTGAGGAAGCGTGAAATGAAGGGAGGAAGGGAGCATAGAATAAAGGAAAGTGAGGAAAGAGGGAGCATAAAATAAAGGAAAGGATGTAGAGAGGGAGGTAGGGAGGGAAGGTGAGATAAAGGGCGAAGGAAATATAGATTGAAAAATGGGGAGGAAGGGACACTAGAAGGGTTGGGGTGAGGGGTAGCCGAAGGGAAGGGGAGGAGGGGCAGCAGAAGGGTAGGGAGGGAGGGCAGCAGAAGGGGAGGAGGAGGGAGGAGGGGCACCAGAAGGGAAGGAGGGAGGGAGGGGCACAGAAGGAAGGAGGAGGAGGCAGCAGAAGGAAGGAGGAAGGAGGGGCAGCAGAAGGGGAGGGAGGGAGCAGCAGAAGGAAGGAAAGAGGGAGGGAACAGCAGAAGGGAAGGAGGGAGGGATAGCAGAAGGGTAGGAGGGAGGGAGGGGCAGCAGAAGGGAAGGAAGGAGGGAGGGAACAGCAGAAGGGAAGGAAAGAGGGAGGGAGGAGCAGCAGAAGGGAAGGAAGGAGGGAGGGAACAGCAGAAGGGAAGGAAGGAGGGAGGGCTAAGAATCAATGGACAGTAAGCACGTCAAGTCATATGTTAACTCTGACCTGTAGTGACCTCATGTGACCTCTTCATCGAGCTGGCTTCTCCTTCCTTTCCCCCTCCTTCCCTCCCTCTACTAGCTGTCCCCCTTCCCTTCCCTTCTCTACCTACCTGCTCCCTCTCCTTCCTTACCCTTACCAGCTATTCCCCTTCCCCTCTTCTCTCTGTCTCCCTCCTTTTACCAGCCGTTCCCTTCTTTCTAACCACTTTCCACTTCCATTCAGTTCTCCCTCTTCTCACTTAACCTCTCTCTGCTACTCTTTCTCCTCCCTTCTCTCTTACTTCCCCCTCCTCTTTCTCTCATTCATTGTCTTTTGGAGGGTAATATGACAATCTCCTCCTCCTCCTCCTCCTCCAAAGATGATTTTCCGGATTCTTATGGTGAAAACAACCCTCTTGTGCCTTACTGCGATCTCTGTCTTTTAGCTGTGGTATTTAGTTAAGTTTTAGCTGCGGTATACTTAGCTGTGTTGTCTGGTGTTTTAGCTGTGATCTATGACGTTTTAGCTACGGTGGAGGTAGGGGGTTTATAGAGGGGGAGGGAGGTAGGAGGTTTATAGAGGAGGGAGGGAGGTAGGAGGTTTATAGAGGGAGGAGGGGAGGAGGGAGGAGGAGGGAGGAGGTTTATAGAGGGAGGGAGGGAGGAGGTTTATAGAGGGAGGGAGAGGGAGGGAGGAGGAGGTTTATAGAGGGAAGGAGGTAGGAGGTTTTAGAGGAGGGAGGAGGTAGGAGTTTATAGGGGAGGGAGGTAGGAGGTTTATAGAGGGGGAGGGAGGTAGGAGGTTTATAGAGGAGGGAGGGAGGTAGGAGGTATATGAAGGATGGAGGGAGGTAGAGGTCGGAGGTTTATGGAGGCGAGGGAACACTGCGCGGATCAGCTCGACTTTATCAGGTAAGACGATGATAAACGTCAATGGAAGATCCTTAACATGGTTTATGTCTGCCTACAGATAAGACTCTTGACCAGAGGGAGGTTTATATAGTGGTTTAGGGAGGTTTAGTGATAAGACTCCCCCGTGGTCAACACAATATTGGTCAGCAGGTAACGTTGGGACTAAACCTTGGGTCAGTACACGTATATTTATCATCGATGTGTTGAATTAAAGATGGGACGTTAGAGTTATATTTCTCTCTTGTGTTATCATTCGTCGGGTATAGTCTTTAATGCCTCCTGCAGGTGACCATTACGCCTCACCTGTGTTACCATTAGTGCTGTTGTCACCTCTACTCTGAGTGTCTGTATTCTGGATGTAGTTGACGTAAACATTGATCACTGTCTGCGTTGAGCTGCAGTTGAACATGTATGTCTCCCCGGCGGGAATTATAATCCAGTCAAATCAAGGAAAGGCTGAAACATGGTTGAAAGCTGAAGTATTAAAAATTAGATAAACGACCAGATTTGGCTTTGAGAGTAGCCTTGGCTTTAATTAGAAATACCTTGAGTAAGAAGAGAGTGGGTGTGTGTTGCGCGTTACCAATTAACTGATAACAAAACATATGTCAATTAATCTTTTCATTTAGTAGAGCCTATCTCACCATCCACTTACTACTCCTAATACTTTAATTACTCGTGGAGCGGTAAATTAGTGCACTCCTTCCTGGTGCTCAGGACGTCAGCCTCCCCACACACACACATAATAACACCACACTTGAATGGCCGCCTTTGTCCATGAGCGAGTCCACGTGTCCACGAGTAACGGAGAGATTCTAATAACGTTCATAAAAGGAGTTTTATCCCCCTGGCGGGAGTGAGGAAGAAGTTATTGCTGCCACCTGCTGCTGCACCTCATAACAGGCACGAGGAGGAAGAGGAAGAGGAGGAGGAATAATGAGGTCCTCGTGAGGAGTGAGAGACTGAGAGTGGAGGGGGGGGGGGAGCGAGTGACGGAGGAGGACTCGACTTGGGGAAAATGACTTCGCCGCGCTCTTGTAAGAAGCTAGTTGAGGGAGTTCA